CGAATAGCATAATCCGCTGCTCGACTGCTCCCCTGTCGGAGAGAAAAAAGTCCTCGAGCCGACTCTCTACCCGGGACCCCGTGGTCAAAAACCCTTCTTAGGGCCCCGGAAAAATCCAAAACAGAGCGGCAAATGTCAGATTGATTGTCCCACTCTGCTGTAGCCCATTCTCGTGCCCTCCCTGAGAGGTTGGTAATGATGAACGCCACCCTGGACCGTTCGGTGGGGTAGGACACGGGCTGGAGCTCGAAGGTAAGTGAACAGAGAGACAGAAAATAGCGACACGTTGCAGCGTCGCCGTCGTACCTCTCAATGTGTAGCACTCTGGGATCGTGGTGCGAGCCGGGAGGAGTCACCGGAACCACTGGAGCTGGTGGACCTGGCGGTGCCGCCTCCGCCAGTGGCTGAGGGTTGAGACGAGCACCTGCTGCGTCTGGAGGCTAAAATCCCGCAACTGGTCAGTCATGGCGGTTTGAACCGCATTCTGGCGATCGTGAAGCTCCTGGACTCCGGTGACCAACCTGGAGAGCAATTGTTCGTGGTCGTACAGTCTCTTTCCTTGCGTCTGAAGAGCAGAACGCACGGCGCTGTCCTCTGCTGAGTCCGTCATGGTCAGATTGTTCTGTCAGGCCGAGGGGCAGATCCGGGACTCAATCGCAGATAAGACACAAGAGATGAGGTGAAGTTCAAAACTCAGGAATCTTTACTTGAAAAAAGGTCAAAAACAAACTCAAAGCGACTCCAACGGAGCGGGCAAAAATATCCAACAAAACAAAAGAAGGGCAAAGGTACACATCAAGAGGGAACTCTGGAACACCGATCAAACACGAAGAAGGCACAGAACGAACAGACAGGGAACAAACAAGGACGATCTAACAACCAGAACAGGGAAAGCAGGGGAGTATGTGTGTGGGGTGATGAGGAGATTGAAGGCAGCTGGGTGGACTGGGCAGGTGAGTGGGATGAGTGTAATCAGGGGAAGCACACACACACACAGACAGACACAGAAACACACACAGAGACATGAGGAAGTTAACGGGATGTTACATCTAATGGTGAGTGAACAGTGTGTCAGTGGAGTCATCCAGCCCTTTGATATTCAATAGTCAGTTTTTAGATGAGTAGAGTGCTTTGGTCTTCTACATTTTCACATTTTTGGCCAAGAGTCATTGCGACATGATCGGCATTTTGATGCTTTACAATCTTGAGGAGACCAAGAAAAGTTTGTTAATTCTAGAAGTTCATTATATATATGTATGTATGTATGTATGTATGTATGTATGTATGCATGATATCTCAATATCCTGTTAAATATGTGGAAAACGGATCTGCTATATTCAGTCAGGCATTAACCCTGCTCATCCACCAACCACCTCAATCTTAATTAACCTATAAAACGTTAAAGTTTTTACATAGAAATATGGCAAATACATCCAAAACAACACAAAGCCATAATCTATTTTGGGGTACGGTGCGACAGAACGCCGGCCGGTGCGACCGAACACAGGCCACGTGATCGAATCAACTGGCCGCACCTTACCGGTGCGACAGAACGCCGGCCGGTACGACAGACCGCCGGTGCGACTGCGTGTCGTTGGTCACGCCGGCCGGCGGAGGTGGGATCCCGGCCCCGCTGTGATCCGGCCGCCGTAGACCTGCGAAATACGACTGGGGAGGCTCGACTGTCACTGGCATCCATGAATCCTTACTGGAACTGAAACGATCCATTTTCCACCACTTATCCGGGGTCGGGTCGCGGTGGCAGCAGGTCAAGCAGGCCGACCCAGACCTCCCTCTCACCGGCAACATGTTCCAGCTCATTCTGGGGGATCCCGAGGCGTTCCCAGGCCAGCTGGGAGATGTAATCTCTCCAGCGTGTTCTGGGTCTTCCCCGGGGTCTCTTCCCAGTTGGACGTGCCTGGAAAACCTCCAGTGGGAGGCATCCAGGAGGCATCCTAATTAGATGCCCGAACCACCTCAGCTGACTCCTTTCGACGCGAAGGAGTAGCGGCTCTACTCCAAGCTCCCTCCTGATGACCGAGCTCCTTACCCTATCTCTAAGGCTGAGCCCAGCCACCCGACGGAGGAAACTCATTTCGGCCGCTTGTAGCCGCGACCTTGTCCTTTCGGTCACAACCCAGAGTTTGTGACCATAGGTGAGGGTCGGAACGTAGACCGAGTGGTAAATTGAGAGCTTTGCCTTCCGGCTCAGCTCCCTCTTCATCAAGACGGTCCGGTGCAGCGCCTGCTTTACTGCTGCAGCTGCACCGATCCGTCTGTCGATCTCCCGCTCCATCTTACCCTCACTCGTGAACAAGACCCCGAGATACTTGAACTCCTTCGCTTGAGGTAGGCACTCCGTCCCCACCTGGAGGGAGCAATCCACCGGTTTCCGGCAGAGAACCATGGCCTCAGATTTGGAGGTGCTAACTCTCATCCCCGCTGCTTCACACTCAGCTGCAAACCGCCCCAGTGAATGCTGGAGGTCACGATCCGAGGAGGCTAACAGGACCACATCATCTGCAAATAGCAGAGAGGCGATCCCGAGACCCCCGAAACTGACGTTCTCCGCCCCCAGGCTGCGCCTAGATATCCTGTCCATGAAAATCACGAACAGGACCGGTGACAAAGGGCAGCCCTGGCGGAGGCCAACACCCACCGGGAACGTGTCTGACTTATTGCCGAGAATGCGGACACAGCTCCTACTGCAGTCGTACAGAGACCGGATCGCCCGTTGTAACGGGTCCGGCACCCCATACTCCCGCAGCACCCCCCACAAGACCCCCGAGGGACCCGGTCGAAAGCCTTCTCCAAGTCCACAAAGCACATGTAGACTAGTTGGGCAAACTCCCAGAACCCCTCCAGTAGTCTTGCGAGGGTAAAGAGCTGGTCCACTGTTCCATGGCCGGGACGGAATCCGCACTGCTCCTCTTGAATCTGAGGTTCGACAAACGGTCGGAGCCTCCTTTCCAGCACCCTGGCATAAGCCTTCCCCGGGAGGCTGAGTAGTGTGATACCCCGGTAATTCGAGCACACTCTCCGGTCCCCCTTTTTGAAGATGGGAACCACCACCCCGGTCTGCCATTCCATGGGCACTGATCCCGACCCCCATGCGACATTGAAGAGGCGTGTCAGCCAGGACAGCCCAACTATGTCCAGCGCCTTCAGCATCTCAGGGCGGATCTCATCCACCCCCGGCGCCTTGCCACCAAGGAGCTTTTTAACTACCTCAGCGACCTCTGCCAGGGATATGGGTGAGCCTCCCCCTAGGTCCTCAGGCGCTGCCTCCTCTGCAGAGGACATGTTGGTCGGGTTTAGGAGTTCCTCAAAGTGCTCTTTCCACCGCCCGACGATGTCCTCTGTCCGGGTTAGCAGTTCCCCCCCCCCCCTGCTGAGAACAGCCTGGGGTAAGCCCTGCTTTCCCTTCCTGAGCCGTCGGATGGTTTGCCAGAACCTCCTTGAGCCCCAACCGAAAGTCCTTCTCCATGGCCTCCCCGAACTCCTCCCATGCCCGAGTTTTAGCATTCGCGACCACCGCAGCTGCAGCCCTTCTGGCCTGCCGGTACCTGTCAGCTGCTTCAGGAGACCCCTGGGCCAACCAGGCCTTGAAGGTCTCCTTCTTCAGCTTGTCCACCACCGGGTTCTCGGGTTGCCGCCACGACAGGCACCGATGACCTTCCGGCCACAGCTCCTAGCGGCCGCGTCCACAATAGAGGCTTTGAACATGGTCCACTCGGATTCCGTGTCCCCAACCTCCCTCGGGATGTGTGAGAAGTTCTTCCGGAGGTGGGAGTTAAAGACCTCCCGGACAGAGTCCTCCGCCAGACGTTCCCAGTTCACCCTCACTACACGTTTGGGTTTGCCGGGTCTTTCCAACCGGTTCCCCTGCCATCTGATCCAACTCACCACCAGGTGGTGATCAGTTGACAGCTCTGCTCCTCTCTTCACTCGAGTGTCCAAGACATATGGCAATCAAATGATACGATTACAAAGTCGATCATTGATCTCCGGCCTAAGGTGTTCTGGTACCAGGTACACTTATGAACCACCTTATGTTCGAACATAGTGTTCGTTATGGCCAAACCGTGGCAAGCACAGAAGTCCAATAACGAAACACCATTCGGGTTCAGATCGGGCAAGCCGTTCCTCCCAATCACCCCCCGCCAGGTTTCTCCGTCATCGGCCACATGAGCGTTGAAGTCCCCCAGGAGAACTATGGAGTCGGTAGGCGGCGCCCTTTCCAGGACCCCTCCCACCGACTCCAAGAAGGCCGGATACTCCGAACTGCTGTTTGGTACATAAGCACAAACCACAGCCAGAGCCTTGCTCCCCACAACCCGTAGGCGCATGGAGGCGACCCTCTCGCTCTCCAGGGAGAACTCCAACACAGCGGCGCTCAGCCGGGGGCTCATGAGTATCCCCACTCCCGGCCGGCGCCTCTCACCCTGGGCAACTCCGGAAAAGGACAAAGTCCAACCCCTCTCCAGGAGCTTGGTTCCAGAGCCAACGCTGTGTGTGGAGGTGAGTCCAACTATTTCTAGCTGGTATCGCTCCACCTCCTGCACCAGCTCTGGCTCTTTCCCCGCTAGCGAGGTGACGTTCCACGTCCCTAGAGCTAGTCTATGCCGCCGGCGATCGGCATGCCCGGGCCTCCCGCCCGACCCATCGCCCGGTCTGCATAGCACCCGACCCCGATGCTTGTCCCTGCGGGTGGTGGGTCCACAGGGTGGCTGCTCCATGGTTTTTATTCGGGCTGAGCCCGACCAGGCCCCATGGGCAAAGGCCCGGCTGACCAGACGCTTGCCTACGAGCTCCCCTCCTGGGTCTGGCTCCGGGAGGGTGCCCCGGTTTCCCTGGTCCGGGCGAGGTGTCATTGTGTTAATTACATTGATTTGGCTATGCATTGTCCGTTAATGACGCAGCGTCCCGTCATGCACGGATTCATGTATCTGCACCGTAGCTGTTCAACTGTAGTAGGACAGCACAGAAGGCCCAGGAATAAAATGCACGGCCCGCCACTGGTTTTGTTGCACCATTAGCCAGAATAATTAAAAACACCTGTGACCATTTTGACTTCCTATCAATGTAGTCAATAACACATTTCTGTGTAAAAGGAGCTTCCATACTTTGCCAGTGTATGTCTAAAACTATCATTGTTTAAGACCTCGGTTTTCACCGCGCGCAACATACTTTTCCCTCATCTCTTTGACACGGCTATCACCCGTCGGCACGTGCTGTGAAAAAACCGAGCGCACCTCTCTCACGCAACTACGCGGAGGAACAGGAAATCAGGAAACAGAAAACAATCTCTAGGGAAGTAGGGATAAAAGTTCGAGTACAGTTTTTGAAAGATGAGCCGAATTTATCACAACACGTCTTTACAGAACAAACCGGTACATAATGAGACATTTGAGCGCGCGTGGTCCCTCTCTACGTACGATAGGTAGGGGCGTATTTGTTCATTTAACGTGACAGGCAACGAATACAAACGTTCAGATGAGTTCTAGTTACAGTATCTTCTTATGATGCATTTGTTTCCTTGTTATGTAGAGAAACAACACCAAACTCAATTTACTTCCCCCGAGATTTAGAGCAGGTGGGCTAATTTGCCCAGCTCACACACATGGATCAGTAATAAGTAATTATTATATTCAGCATCAATGCATATTGCCGAATGTACTGTATATTCGGCATCAAATGAATCCCCAGTCAGCACTTAATCTCAGTAAAGCTGCAAATGGTGTTTAGTTCACGGAAGTTCACACTATGTGAGCAACCCCTTTATAGCGTAAAAGTTGAACGTGTATTCAAATGAGGTAATTCAATATAAAGAATTGAGCTTGATATTGCCATATTTGGCCGTTTTTTTAATGGAGTTTTGGAGTTTTACATAGGCTACCTCTACTATACGCAACAGAATGCACAGTTAAAAGTGGAAGTAGAGATTTTAATATTTGATATTTTTCTTCCACACAGTGGCCAGGGGGTTCTTCTAGAAGGAAAGCTGCTGGATGTTTCCAGACATGCGATCAGTGATGACAGCAATCAAAAGGTACTGAAAGGGCAAAATCCAGCCGGGTCTTAGTGTCCCCTAAACTGACTTTCATTGGAAAGTATAAACATGTCTTTCACCATTTGCCGTTGGCAGAAACGGAAAGCTTTAGCTCCGATGATGCTTTAAAAGTAACAACCTCACTTACTTTGTTGTTTCAGCAATAACTTTTGCCCAAATCCTAATTGGCTTTAGCATTTAGGACAGACTAAACATAAACGCAGGCAGACCAAGCACAACCCAGGCTGTGTCTCTGTCATCGACAGGTCCGTTTCTATGTCCTGTACATCAAACCCAGCCGCATCCACCAGAGGAAGTTCGACGTCAGCGGGAATGATATTGAGCCCAACTTCAGCGACACCAAAAAGGTCAACACCGGCTTCCTCATGTCCTCCTACAGTGAGTACATAACAACATTTTGAGTTTATGTTTGCACATTTCCTTTCCTCTCAAACTTCATTCTGTTTTGTCTTCCATGTCCATGAATGCAGTTTAGGATTCATTTTGAATCTGTCTGCCAACTCTGTCAAAATGGACGAGCGAGCCATCAGAAGGCCTGTGGTCAGGTCACAGTCTCTCCTTTGGAAGTGTGTGTTTGAGTCCCACTTCCAGTCTTTGAAAAGCAGCTGCATCCTTGAATCGAACAAGCAAAGCACATAGTCACCTTTGTGAAGGGCTGTTGAACAATGAGGGTATTTCATTTGATGTTGTGCAGAAGCCAAAGTATGGTGATTTAAGTGTGTTGTACGATATAATATAGGTCAGTAAATACCCCTCTGGTGAATCTACAAGCTTTTACGGGTCTTAAAAAAGGCAGTTGGTAACAAGTGTAAATGGGAGCTTAGTGGTGGTGACGTGAAGCCTAGCATTAGCTTTTTACTTCTGCTGATTTCATTCACGCTTCCAAAATTATGAAAGTGGTGTTTATCGAGATTAACAAAACATGTAAGTATCATAAACATTAGTGTGGTGGCCATTTGTCCGAAAAATCAAAAACAAACATAAATCAAAGGGCCACTGACGCACCATGGCTTGTGGTTTACGCAGGCAAAAGAGTTCATACATGTGTTTCTCATGATTCATTTAACCAAAAAAAACAAGCAAGCAAACGAAAGAACAAAGAAAATCCTGTCGCTGCCTCTCCTGCTGTGGTAAAAAAAACACCACCCCAGTGCATGCTGTTCCTATACTAGACTGTGGCTCAGTGGTAGAGCAGAGTCATCCTTCAATCAGAGGTTCAGCGGTTCGATCACTGGCTAGTCCATTGCTAGTCCATGTCGATGTATCCTTGTGTGTCCTTATCCTGCATGTTGTATGAATGTTAGCTAGAGTCCTGGTTGATGGGCAGGGGGCATGGATGGCACCTTGAATGGGTGAATGATGACATGTAGTGTTAAAGCGCTTTGAGTGGTCGGGAGACTAAAAAAGTCTATACAAGTAGAGTTTACCTGCCTACTCCGATATATAACCCACAGTGCCAAAAAACGTATACTAAACAACAAAACGTAATTAAACAAAACAAATTACTATCAAAAGAAAAAGCTATCCTAGATAAGCAAACATCTAGAATAACATCGGAACATCATTAAAGAATACTTGTGAATAAAATAACTAAATACTATCATCAAATTAGTTGCTCCTACAGTTAGTTTACCACAGAGCTAACTTCCTGGTTGGATTAGACAAATACATCACCCTAACCCCATCATTTGATTTGTTCCATCATGTGTTTTTCTGATTGTTCGTGTTTTCTTAAGTTGCTGAGCTGTCAGAGCTATCTGTGAGTCTTAAATTCCTCTAACCTCATTGGCTTTGATGTACTTGTTCCGTCCGTACAGAGGTGGAAGCTAAAAGGGAGTCCGACCGTCTGTCTGAGGAGCAGCTGTCACTGATGGTGAACAAGGCTGAGCTGCTGAAGATTACCGACAAGCACCGACCCAGTGGGACTTGGGCCTTCTGGTACCCTGAGTCCCAGATGGACCAAACAGAGCTGGAGATGGGGCAGGATGTACGGCTGAAGACCAGAGGAAACGGTCCTTTCATATGTGAGTCTGTGTTAACATGCTATTTCTACTGCTTAGCTGCTCCCACATATTTACCACTGAAAACAGAAAACGGTGCATGTGCATCCAGCACGCCCTTATTGCACATTAAAAGCAGAGTGTTTGAGCCGTGCTTAAGCTTCGGGCTACTCATTTAGAGCCAGTAGTCTTAAGTGGATCTTTGTTAGGGGATGCAACAGTAAAAGATTTGATCAGAGATCTTTAATTAGTTTCATAAGATGGGCCTGTTTTTCAAAGCCAGAGGGTCCTTTTATGTTTTCATGACCCTCACTTGAGCAAGCTTGTCCCCGTGTTGACCTCCATGGCAGTGAATGAAATGAAATTTGAAATCCGGTCCTTCACAGTTTCACAAGTGGCCTCTAAGGGTGAGTGAACAGTGTGTCAGTGGAGTCATCCATCCCTTTGATATTCAATAGTCAGTTTTTAGACGAGTGGAGTGCTTTGGTCTTCTACATTTTTGACCAAGAGTCATGATCGGCATTTTGATGCTTTACAATCTTGAGGAGATCAAGAAAAGTTAGTTAATTCTAGAAGTTCATCATATATATATATATATATATATGTATATATGTATGTATATGTGTATATATGTATGTATGTATGTATGTATGTATGTATATATATGTATATACAGGTGCTGGTCATATAATTAGAATATCATCAAAAAGTTGATTTATTTCACTAATTCCATTCAAAAAGTGAAACTTGTCTATTA